GTGTTGTGAGGACAAATCAGAGGAAAGGGGCCTTGACTCTGGAAATAAGATCATCTTGGTTGGCCAGAAGCCATTGCTCAAAGTTAGTTTCTGAGGTTCTGTTTCCTATTTGTATTATCTTCATATATTACATAGGCAATAGGTAGGCTTCCCTAGATTTTTGTCTTACAGAAGTTTCAGGAAACCTTAAAAAATTAAAGTAGAAAAGCGTGGGTGGCTTTTGTTTTGTTTTTGAAAATGGAAATAATCCTGGTAATGTACAGAGTTGAAGTACTTTATAGAAGTTTTGGGGAAAGAATTTTGTTCTGGGAATCCTATTGGAAAATCGATTATCAAGGAAGTAGAAATCCATTCCAGGATTAGTGGCTCATGAATTGAGAGGAAATTCCAGGTAACATATAAGACAGTCATTGCATCCATGGATAATAGCCCATTTTGATAGCAGAAAATAAAATCACATCAACAATAAACTTACATGTGATTACATATCTTGAATCTGAAGTCTGATTTTTTTGAGAATCTCTTTTCTTTTTCTGATTTGCAGAACAGAAGCTATCAGAAATAGGAAAAGTTTTCTTAAAGGTTGTCAAATTTCTCTTTGCAATTCAATCCAATCTGTCAAACTTTCTGAAGATAGAGTATTAATGACTCAAGAATTTATCCCCATGATCATTACCATTAATATTTGATCTTTATTTTTCATCCTAGGCACCTGTGTTAGTGAGATTTTTATTGCTGTGACTAAAAGACCTGAGAAGAACAATTGTAGAGGAAGAAAAGTTTATTTCAGGGCTCATGCTTTCAGAGGCCTGAATCTATAGACAGCTGGCTTCATTCCTTAGGGCTTGAGGTGAGGCAGCACATCATGCTGGAAGAGTGTGACAGAGTCAAAACTCACATGATCATCAGGAAGCAGAGTGAGAATCCATTTGCCATATACAATATGTATAACCCCAATGACCCACCTCCCCAGACACATCCTAACTGGCCTTCACTTACCACTCAGTTATTCCCATCGGGGAATTAATTAACTGATTTGTTAAGGCATTCACAACCCAATCATTTTTCCTTTAAGCCATCATGCATTGTCTCACATATGAGATTATTTTGGCGGGGGCACACCATACAAAATATAACACATCTTTACTGAGGGAAGATGCCACAGTGTGATTTGGTACTGCCCATTCTCTAGAAATGGTAAGTTATGGGAAGGACCAAACTTGGAGGAGCAGAGTCTGAGATGATGTGCATTTCAAATATCCACTTGTCTTCTCTGTCTTACACTTATCTTGGCCTTATAAGTAACTTCAATGAAGAGTTTAATCTCTGTCGTGGACAAATAATGAAGTTATATTTGAATGAAAGGGAAAGTATTAAATGTTCTTTTGTTTATGAGAGTAAATCATAGTGCTTTCTGGATTTCAAATATGTCAAGTCTGCCCATAATTATATCAACACTAACAGCATCTACAGCTTTCCAGTTTATTAACAATGGCTCGATAGTATTCATTAACACTAACATTTATCTCTAATACTTTCTGTAAATATAATTTTCGAACCAAGACCTACTTTGACCCATTTTTACTTTTATATGTCTTTCTTCATCCCTGATAGGTTAAATGACCATTTAACCATTTCAATATTTAGGGATATGACCACGAGGTGGCAGTCTACCCCAACTGGTGCATAATAGGTGGAAGACTTATTGCAGTGGACTCTGAATGAATAGGTTTTTTCTTATAGGCTGGGTAGACAATAAAGAGAAGCCAATATAATTGTTACTGTGAAAAAGGAACATCACGATAACAGAAGGAGCTCTCCTGAGTAGATTTCAAGTCTGGATTGATTTAATTGTGAACAATGAAGATATCTAATCCTGCTTTATTCATGTTCTTGTGGCTGCAGCTGGATGGTGAGTTGAGGATTTGGGGGAAACAGAGTATATTAGCAGATGTTCTTTAGACATCTGGGAAGAAAACTGGCTTTATGGAGGCTTTCCCTAGTCACTGAAGAATAGGAAAACTCTAAAGAGTAATCACATACAAACATTATCTTTTTTTTTTCATTTTCTTTCTGCATAGAGTTTAGCCAAGGAGAGAAAGTGGATCAGCATCCTTCTACCCTGAGTGTCCAGGATGGAGACAGTGCTGTTATCAACTGCACTTACTCAGACAGTACTTGGGACTATTTCTCTTGGTATAAACAAGAAACTGGAAAAGGTCTCCAGCGTATTATAGACATTCGTTCAAACAAGGAGATAAGTCAAATCCAAAGATTAATTGTTGTGTTGGATAAGAAAGCCAAACACTTCTATCCTGAACATCACAGCCTCTCAGCTTGGAGACTCAGCTGTCTACTTCTGTGCAGCCAGTGCACTATGCTTCCCAGACACCTGCAGCCTGTACTCAAACCTGCCACTGGGCAGAGCTCCACCTGCTTCCTTTGTCACAGTCTTCCCATAGCATTTGCCTCAATGCAAATGAAAACTAGCATATTAACATTAAATACATATAGTAAACAGGTTGGGTTCATTATGACCCAGTGGCTTAATAATTTTGGTTAACAATTTTTTTCCAACTTTTTTGTGTATTTAAGGGGTAAAGCATAATGTTTTGATATAAATAAACAGTGAAAATTGGACAGCTGGAGGGGAATGCATAGAGAAGTCATGGGAGAAGAAATCCCCAACTTCAGGTATCTCCACGTGATCAGCAATCCTAAAGTTATGCTCAATGGATTCTTAAGGGGAATTAGAACTGTTTTGCCTTGAAATCCAGAGTTGGAAGATGAGTTTACACCTGCTCTCATATAAATAACCCCTTGAGATCTTTATCATAATCCCTGTTATCTGTGGGCTCTTGACTATTTAGATATTGCATTAATTATTTTTCTGATTAACAAACAATACATACCAAAGACAGAAAATATGTTTGTTACAAAAATGGGAAATTGATAGGGTTTTATCCAGATAATTCCAATATTTAGTCAGAGAATACAGAGAAGTACACATATAGGACAAAGAAGTCTAGATATCTGTTATACAATATAAGGTGTATAGCTAATTATACCGTGTTAAGGATTTCTGTCAAATAAATAAATTTTAGTAATTTTTTTCAAACACATAAAAATTTACTATGAAAGAGAATAGATATGTAATTTTCTTCACTATATAATTAATTTATGATCTATATTCATCCTGACATATTCTGTTAGAAACCCCAATTACACAATTTGATTTGAAGAATCCTATTTATTTCCATTTACCTATCCCTTTCTTTCTTGAAATATAAATATAAAACTCCATTTTATATTTACTCCTCAACATTTAAATTTATTGCTCCTTTACCTTTATTTTTAGTGTGTGTGAAAAAAATCTTAGTATGTATTTTCCCACTGCTTTACTCAACTCTTACTAGTGGGTTACAGAAGGAATTTGGTTAAATATTCACAGATGGCTCACTACAAAGCTCTCTGTCTTCATGTCCAGTCTCAATCAATTTTTATTATCACAAGTTTCTTTTAAAATTATATCTTCTCGTGACTTTGATGCATCAATGAACGTGAAGAAACTGTACAAATAAGAAATTCCCTAATTCTCTGACTTCTGGTCACAGTTAGGTGCATTTTAAGAGTTCTTATATTAATGAGTACAATGAGCCATTGGTGTTGTGAAGAGGATCCCTCTTGGCTGAGTTAAGGGTGTTAGTTATCAGCTAATTGGCTTGTTCTTATAGTCTTTAGAATAAAGTAGATTTAAAACATCTGATCAGGAGTGGCTAACATTGTGACCCCTCCTTCAACTGGCTGTCCTTCTTTTCCTCAATATTATCACAGCTCCTCTCCTGGAAAAGGACATGGACTCCTTATTAGTCCACTTCCCCCAAGACTGGTAATGGAGTGAGAGGGAAGCGTGGCTTACATTTTATCACTAAGTTTCATGGTATAAGACAGAGAATATGTTACTATTCACCTAAAATATTTATCTTACTAAGATGACAATTTATCTAAAAGAATGAAAACACAGAAATACCTACACACACACACACACACACACACACACACACACACACCCAAACAAAACCCTCCAGCACTGTGTGCAAGGTCAATATCTCAGATCCAGACAGGTTCAAGCTTTGGACCCACACTATAGTTGGTGTGTGTTTTCCTTTTGCTTCTGTAACAAACTTGGTGGCTTATTGCAAGAGAAGTGTATTTTCTCTGTCATGGTTCTGGAAGCCTGAAGTTGAAAACAGTTTCTCTGGGCTGCACCCACCCAGAGGCTATAGGGAGAATCTGCTCCTGGCCCCTCCCAGCTCTTATGGCTGCCAGCATTTCTGGGCTTGGGGCTGCCTCCTCCACTCTCTGCCTCCTCCACTCTCTGCCTCCATAGTCACCCTGGATTCTCTCTCCCATTTTCAAGTGTCCTTCTCAGAAGTGTCTATGAGATTACTTTCAAATTTCATATAATCCAGGTAATTCTCTAAAGATCTCAGGATCCTTAACTTAATCATATCTGCATATAAATTAAATAAAGCATTATTGTTTCTATTGCCTCAATAAAACCTTACCAAAAAGTTTTTTTTGGGTATAGGAACAAAGGAAGAAAAATTAGAAATATATAACATTCTACTATTAAGGTGAGAAAATACTATTTAAAGTATAAAAATAAAGGATAGGACAGGAGATATCACAACTAGTGGTTCCAATCAGCCAGAGAATTCTGTTCTTACAGTCTTGGAGGCACTGTCTACATTATGCCAGGGTTTAAGGATCTGGGTCAGTGTGTATTAAGGATCTGGGTCAGTGTTCATCTTCTGAAGATTGTCTGTTTATGGACATTTTCTGCAGAAGTTTAGTGAAGATCTTTAATGTGAGTTACTTTTTGATTCTTGTCATTTTAAGATGAATGATGTCACATAGTTGTTAAATGCAATTAAGAACAGCTCCTTGTACTTTATCTGCTGAACTGGTATTAAATATTACTTGGCTCCTTTCTTTAAGTTTCAGAATACCACATCATCTAGGTTTAGGCCATATAGAGGCTGATTAAATGAGAAGCCAGAAAAAGCAACCTGTTGGCATGTTGATAAGAGGCTTTATTCATGAATTTTTTTTATATAGTTCAATTTGAAAAAGAATGGAATCTGTATAATTTGGGAATTATATGTACCTACTGGTGACTGTTTCATAGGAAGCCAACATATGAGTTTGTGTGAGGGGGAAAAGCAGGGCCATGAGACCTGTAGGAGTAGCGGTGTATTATATAGGTAGCCTGTTTCCTGTTCTGGTGGAGCAGCAGCTCAGAGCATGTAGTTCCTCCCTCACCCTGTCAGGCTCCCCTTCCAGTGTAAACCCTGGAGTCAAAGAAGAATTCCTTCAGAAGGAAGAAGGCAAACATGGTGCTGCCCAGGCTGCTGAAGCTGCTTATGGTGTCCATGTGGCTGGGTAGGGATGGTTCCTAGGGGAAGTGACCGCCTCTGTGACCTAGGGACTGGGGGACAGGGTAGCCTTAAAGGGACTTGGGGAGGGTTAGTGTTGTATAAATGTGTACTTTTTCTGTCCCACACCACTTGTCCCTCAACTTTCTGATTCTGTCCTTTTCCCTTCAGGATCCAGTTTTGCCCAGAAGGTGACTCAGGCCCAGCCAGCCATTTGGGTGCAGGAGAAGGAGGCTGTGAGCCTGCTCTGCTCCTATGACACCAGTGATACAAATTATGATCTCCTCTGGTACAAGAAGCCCAGCAGTGGGGAGATGGTCTTCCTCATCCGTCAGAACTCTTACAGCCAGCAAAATGCCACAGAAGGTCGCTACTCACTAAATTTGCAGAAGGCAAGCAAATCCATCCAGCTTGTCATCTCAGCCTCTCAGCTGGGGGACTCAGCGGTGTATTTCTGTGCACTGAGAGAGGGCACAGTGGGAGGACTGTTGGAGGAAGGTGCACAAAAACCCAGGGTCTGCCTGAGTCACCCACCTGCTGGAGGGACCAAGGCAGGAAGTGGCAGGGCTGTGTCAGCTCATGTTTGGGGTTAGAGGAAAACACTCACTCTAAAGAAACCCTTTCTAGGTTCATAGATCACATCACATTTATCACTAATCAAAGCCAGCCATATTGGTGAAACTTTGGATTGAATGTAGACACATAATTTTTGGCAGAAGATTAAAAAGGAAGAAGAAGCACAATAAACAATTTATCATTTGGATATAAAATTTGACTCAAATAATTGGCTAAAGTGGTTCAGAAACATATGGCTGAAGAGTAGTGAAAATCTGTATGAGCTGTTGGATTTTCAGAACAAAATTTCCATTAAGTATTTATTGAATAAAGATTATGTTTCTAGTGTATTTTAAAATAAGGAATGCCTTGAAATCTCTGTGTGGTGTGTGTATGTGTGTGCGTTTTTAAGAAAAATCATGCTGTTTCAATGAATTTGTTTTAGGTTTGCTTTCCTTGAGTGAAAGACACTCATATTTACTTTCTAAATGTGTCTTCTCTACTACAAACTTTGTGCTAAGTGTTTCTTCCATCTTCTCGATAACTCTACCATGGAAGAGCTCTATTTGCATATTAAAATTCTACTGTGTCTAACCCTTCATATTCATAAAAGCAAAGTAACTAGTGACTCTTACAGAGGTATGTGGAGGATCCACCCCAGAGATGGAGATGGAAACCTCTTTACAGGTACATAAGGGATCATATTCTCCTAAGATAGTCACAATCCTTTAAGAATGTTAAATTTCCACTTTCACTCTAGTATGTTCCAGCTTGCTTTTTCAGTTTTATTATTCTATTTGTTTCATTCTATGACAATATCATAAAATAATAAATTTTATTACATGTTAGGATAGGATAAATCACTTTTCGCCAGTAATGTTTATGAAGCTTTTAGTAATTATTGCAGGTATTTTTCAACATGAATGTTAAAATCTGCCCCAATTTCTTCGTATTCAATAACCCTCCACTAAACTAAATGAAAAAATCATTAAAAAAACAAAGAATGTTTCAAAACAAGAAAGTTTGAGTTACATTTATTGACACACAAAATATAAATTTATTATCTTTTTATTCAAGAAAGAGCTAAGTTTTTCAATTATGAAAGGCCTTCTATGTTCTTCAACTATATTTTGAAGTTTCTTATATATTTATTTTCTTTCTTTTTTTTTTTGCAAGGGCAAACTTCACTTTTTCAAAAATTTGTTTTAATTAGTTACACATGACAGTACAATGACCTTGACATAACATACATTTGAAAAACTTCACTTTTAATTTAATTCTCTCTCCTTTTTTTCTGTTCCACTCCTTTCTCCTATGGAATTAGTACTCTCAAACTTTCTCCCCTTTTATTTTTATTTATTTATTTATTTATTTATTTATTTATTTATTTATTTATTTATTTTTGATGTTTTTAGGAATACATGACAGTAGGGCATACCTTTACATACTATACATACATAGGATACAACCCATTACAATTTTGATCCCATTCTTGCGGTTGAAAATAATGTGGAGTTACATTGGTTGTGCATTCATATATGAGCATAGGAAAGTTATGGATCACTCCATTGTGTTCCCTATTCCTTCCCCCCTCCCTTTTCTTCATTCTCCTTTGTCCGATCCAATAAACTTCTATACTTCTCCTCCTTACCCTGCCTTGTTATGGGGTAGCATACATCCATGAGAGAGAACATACCAGCTTTGGTTTTTTGGGATTGGCTTATTTCACTTAGCATGATAGTCTCCAGTTCCATCCATTTACTGGCAAGTGCCATAATTTTATTATTCGCTAGAACTGAGTAAAATTATATTGTGTATATATAATAATTTTCTTTATCCATTCATCTTGTTGAAGGACACCTAGGTTGGTTCCATAGCTTGGCTACTGTAAATTGAGCTGCTATAAATATCAATGTGGCTATGTCACTGTAGTATGCTGATATTAAATCCTTTGGGTATAAAACAAGGAGTGGAATAACTGGGTTAAATGGCGGTTCCATTCCAAGTTTTCTAAGGAATCTCTATACTGTCCTCCAGAGTGGTTGTACCAGTTTGCAGTCCCACCAGCAATGTATGAGTGTGCCGTTTCCCCCACAACCTCACCAACATTTATTGTTACTTGTATTCTTGATGATAGCCATTCTGACTAGAGTGAGATGGAATCACAGCATAGTGTTCTTTTTTTTAACTCTTTTTTTTGGGGGGGACACAATTCCTTCCTTCCTTCCTTCCTTCCTTCCTTTTTTGTGGTGCTGAGGACTGAATGTGTGCAAGGCAAGCATTCTATCACAGAGCTACAATCCCGCCCCCACAGTGTAGTTTTAATTTGCATTTCTCTAATTGCTAGAGATGTTGAGCATTTTTTCATATATTTTGTGACCACTCATATTTCTTCTTCTGTGCAGTGCCTGTTCAGTTCTTTAGCCCATTTATTTATTGGGTTATTTATTTTTCTTGTGTTAAGTTTTTAATTTCTTTATATATCCTAGAGATTAATGCTTTATCAGAGGTGCACGTGGTAAAAATTTCCTCCCAATCTGTAGGCTCTCTCCTTACATTATTGTTTGTTTCCTTTGCTGAGAAGAAGCTTTTTAATTTGAATTCATCCCATTTATTGATTCTTGATTTTACTTCTTGTGCTTTAGGGGTCTTTTTAAGGAAGCCAAATCCTAAGCTGACATGGTGAAGATTTGGGCCTATTTTTCTTCTGTTAGGTGCAGGGTCTCTGTTCTAGTGCCTACATCTTTGATTCACTTTGAGTTGATTTTTATGCAGGGTGAGAGATATAGGTAACATTTCATTTTGCTATATGTGGATTTTCAGTTTTGCCAGCAGCATTTGTTGAATAAGCTATCTTTTCTCCAGTGAATGTTCTTGGCACCTTTGTCTAGTATAAGATAACTGTATTTTTTGTAAATTTGTCTCTGTGTCTTCTATTCTGTGCCATTGGTCTTCATGTCTATTTTGGTGCCAATACCATGTCATTTTTGTTACTACAGATCTATAGTATAGTTTAAGATCTGGTATTGTCATGCCTCCTGCTTCATTCTTCTTGCTAAGTATTTCTTTGGCTATTCTGGATCTCTTATTTTTCAAAATAAGTTCCATGATTGCTTTTTCTATTTCTATGAACATCAGTTTAAACCTTGTAGATCAGTTTAACCATGAACTTTCTGAATTCTATCTCTTATACTTCCTCCACTGTGGTGTCAATGTATTCAATTGTTGAGGTAGTCTGGATTATTTTGGATGCTTTTTCTCTTGCTTTTTCATATTATTTGTGTATCTACTCATCTATATAGATGTATCTGATGCTGTAGAGTTTATACCTTATGGGTTTATAATGTCCCTCTGTGTTACTAGTACCTCATAGAATGGGGTAGGGAGGGAGTCTAATGATAGCAACAATGTGTGCAAACAATATGTAGCAGTAGACTATGTACTTAGTTGCTATTTTGATATCTAGTGTTCACTGGTTCAATATATAGGGATAGTGGGATCAGCAATTTTCATCAGTAAAAACTGTATATAAACATATATTATATCTGACTAAAATCAAACAATTGTTGTTGTCTATGCCTTCTTCTGTATTAATTATTGCTATATTAATTATTGTTGTGCCTGACTTTCATATGTGGGCCTTGCCTGATTTGCATATGTGGGCTACCTGTCTTGGAGCCAGTGAAAGAGTGGAGGGATTGACATTAATCTTGGATTATTCTATATGGATTCAGTTACTAAATTTTGGTGTTTCTTCTTTCTAGGATTCAAAATTATCCTTTTTCAATGATTCTGAAATTAAAAAGTATAAGCATCTTGATTAGATAGTATTTCTTTCTCTGCAAGCTTTAATTAAAAAGATAAGATTTTTGCAATTTGCTTTATTTTAGAAGAGGGGAAGTATGATCTTTCCATCTATTAATTATGTTTGTTCCAATAAATACTAATAAATTGTGCACCTAATAAATTTAAGTCACTGTTCTACATGTGGGGTACTGTACTAAAAATGCAGATTTCTCATTAATGATTTGACTTATTATTACTTCCTTTCATTAAACTCAAAGCACTTCTAGGATATTTTAATGGATTGTGGTTCTCCAATAATTGATTCCTGAGAGTATAAAGGCATGTATTAAAATCTACAGACAATTGATATATTCTGGGCTACAGGCACAACTTGGTATGGTTTTCTTAAGAATTTACATGGGAGGTAGAGTCCTAAGTATAAAGTAGAACTTAGAGGTTATGAGAGCTGTCCCTTATATTTATAAGGGACACCTGAAGACTGATATGTGATTATAAATGTGGTCGGGTTGAGGACATAGTTCTGAATTCTCAAGGAGTCCAGGAAGTCATTCTCCCCAGTTCAGTCCCTGCCCACCAAGGGGAGCAGCTTCCTAACACTAGCTCATTTCCTGTGTGAATTGCAACTTTAGGTTCATCATTTCATTATGACTCCAATATTCTTCATGTTAAGAATCAAGGACATTATTTAGTTGACAGTCTAAAGATGGATACTTCTCTAGGCTTAGTGGTGGTGATTCTCCTGATACTTGGTGAGTAAAATGTCTTTTAAAATTTGGAAACTTCTATGATGTTGGCAAAGTTTTTAACCATTAATTTATCTAAGAGCTTTATCCTAAGGTGACCCAAATCTTTTCCTCTGTGCAGGAAGAACTCAAGGAAACTCAATGACACAGACAGAAGGTCAAGTGATCCTGACAGAGGGGCTTTGTTGACTATAAACTGCAGTTATTCAACCACAGGGTACCCTTCTCTGTTCTGGTATGTGCAATATCCTGGAGAAGGTCCACAGCTCCTCTTTAGAGTCTCAAAGTCCAAAGAAAAAGGCAGCAACAAAGGTTTTGAAGCCACATACAATAGAGAAACCACCTCCTTCCACTTGGAGAAAACCTCCATCCAAGAGTCAGACTCGGCTGTGTACTACTGTGCTCTGGGTGACACTGTGGCAGAAACTGCAGGGGGAGCTGAGCACAAAATCTGAGCAGCACCCAGGGGCCTGACTGATGAGTGTCTGCCTCTGGTGTCTATTCTGGTTTCAACACAATCTATGGTGTGTGTCACCTGTATGTCTGGTTGATGCAAA